TATTGTAACGCAATAAAAACTCAACTGTTTATTATATATTTGTTATATTGAAATTGTTTTTTTATTTTATTTTATTTCTTCCGCAGTAAATATATCGTGATTGTTGTCATTGTTATTACATTGGTAATTTTCAATTTTATTTTCAACTTGGTTATTCTCTAATTCATCCTCTTCCAAGATAGACATAGATGATTTATTATATAAAGACTCCTTATTCTCCAGTTTTGGTTGATTGGAAATTTTATGTGCGGAATAAGTCAAAAATAAATTTGAAAATGTAGCTAAATTAGGTGACAATGATGGGTTCTGTCGAGCGCTTATAAAAATTAAGAGTAAATTTTTTTTTTAAAAAAAAAAAAATATTTTGACTGAATTAGCATGAAGATTAATCAAACCTTTGCATCATTGATATTAACAATTTTCTAGCCGTATAGATATCACCCTTATGTGCGCATGCATATAATAATGAATTGTATGTGTACAAGTCAGGAAGGTATCCATGATCGCTCATGTCTTCTAACACTTTGAATGCTTCTTCATAATAATGTAGAATATTCACAAATATGTTAAGAATATTAATGCATTACCGTAATATGAAATGTGTCAAATGAGAAATTACAGTTTAGAGGATATCTTTTCGACGCGCGCAAGCATCGATCAAAGAATTGAATGTTACATCGGTTGGACATAATCCTTTTCCTGTCATCTCTTGATAGAGGTCAAAAGCCCGTTCTGCATCTCTCATCTAATACTTTATTCGTTATAAATTATTCTTATATAATGTAAAAATAAGATATTATAAGTAATTCACCTTACCTTTGCACAAATGTGAATCATTAGACTATAAGTCACTTCATCAGGTTGACAAACTTCTAATCGCATATGATCAAACGTTTTCCAAGCACGCGCAATTTCGCGATTTTTTATACATCCCTTAATTAACATTGAGAATATTGGCTGTAAAGAAAAAAAAAATATATGATATGTATGAAAAAAAAAAAAAAACATACATGGTGAAAAAAAAATAAATAAAAAATAGATCAATCTTATACTTGAATACGATTTCAAATTTACTTGATTAGGCATTATCTTAGCGGCCTTCATTTTGGAATAGACATTGAAAGCTTCATCAATTTGTAAATTGTTTACATAGGCTTTAACCAAATTTGCAAAACTATATACTGTTTGCTCAAGTCCAGCTAAAATATAATATCAAAAAATAAGTTACTCTTTCCTATATTTAAAAAAGAAAACAAAAAAAAAAATTTTTTTCTTTTTACCAGCCTCGATCATACCAAAAGCAGATAATGCATTTTTGGTATCCCCCACATTCGAATAGACATTTATTAGTTGTTCATATGTAAAAATATTTGGAGTTAATCCTGCTTCCTAAAATAAAAATGTTATTAAAAAATATGTACATAATTTAATGAAATAAATGAATTTAACCTTTATTTTCTGCAATGTAATTTCAGCCAATTGTACATTCTTTTTTAAAGCCTGATTAATATAATTAAACAATTAATTAATATATTTATTAAATTTCTTTCGAAACAATTAAAATATCTTATAAAGATGTGAAAAATTTACACAAGCATATAAAACATTATTGTAATGTTGTAAGCTTAAATTTCTTTTTTCCAATGTATCAATTGAAGGAATAATAGTATTATCCAAAGATTCTTTAATTAACTTAGCAGATGGTAATTCTGATGATGGTAATTTTTTATTCTTATGAAATTCAAATTCTCGAGAACCTGGTGTTAATAATGCTAGTTGGTCAATTATACCACCGGAAGATAATTTTTTAGGTGTAAGTGCAAAAAGTGGTGCAGAAAGGTTTTCATAAATTTTTGTAAATTCTTCATCTGATAATGATGGTGCTTCACTAGTCTGGTAATGATTAAAGAAAAAAAAATTTGATAAGTTTTATGTTTTTTTTTTTTTTTTTGGTTGTGAATTTGAGATTTTGTTTTAATGAACCTCTGAAAATGTTTGTTTATCGAATTTTGCTAATTTTTGTTCCAATTTTTTTATATCCTTTTCTACTTTTATTGTCATTTCTTTAAGGTTTTTATTACTGCAAAAAAAAAAAAAAAAGGTTTGAAAGAAGTAAAGAAAAAAAATATTTTCAACAATTATAATATGATGTCAAAAAACCTTCGTTTCTTATTAATGCTATTATACCATCGAATGCTATAATAACATGAAGAATTCGTATATGTTTTTGGTAACAAATTAATTCCGAGAAATTTAATTTTCGAAAACATTGAGATAAATATAACAAAAAAATAGTATTTTTATACGTATAATATAACTCAAAATAAGAAAACTTTAACGATAATCCGTAAATGTCGGTACATATAATCAATCTCCGGCATGTGATCTGTGATTGAGGTGGCTTAGATAATTATTAACGCAAGATAATTCTAACCAATCACTAACTATCGTTTCAAAAATCATAAGACTTTCACTTTGTGAACAATTAGCAAAATATATATTGACCGGATCCTAATAAGAGCTAAAACGAAGTATATTGAATGCTGTCGATGTATCAAGAAAGGTGCTTTAAACAATAGGCAGATGATTGCTAATTTGCTAATTTTGTTATTTTTGCTAGCTATTTTGATTATTACTAGCTGGACACTCTGATGGAGCATAATTAGTCTTGATAAAAAAAAACAAACAGAATCCCATTGTTCTTGACGCATGTCAGTCACGTTTAAATTCGGGTGGCACTTATTTCACCGACACTCATTTTACCGACTGTGTCATTTCGCCGACATTTTAGCCCGATTTAGGGTTAGGGTTTAGTCAGTTTTATATTTTCGGTGAAATTATTGTCGGTGAAATAATACGAACCCTTAATTAAACTCAGGTAGAACGATAATTCATGATTTAAAATTTTATTACACCAATTACACTATTACTATGGTTTATTTGACAAATATACCGATACACATCTTAGAAGCAAACAAATAATTTGTTAATAAAACTTTATATAAAGTTGTTCATTTATCAATGATTCTATCATAATTTTATTAACATTACCCACTACAATTGAGTTACTTGTTTTTGCCATCCAAAACCAAGTAAACAGTTTTTGTTGTTTCTAAATTGTAACTTTATATTACGGGGTCACGTTATACCTCAAAACTGTATATAAACCAGAGCATGTATGCTATTTATCTGTTATTACATTGCCATATTACAGTCAAATAAAATAAAATAAAATAAAATAAAAAAACAATTTCAATATAACAAATATATAATAAACAGTTGAGTTTTTATTGCGTTACAATA